TTTCTTCCAAAAGCTTATCTTTTCTTGGATTTATGCATGGCAAAAGCTCAATAAATCGCCTGCTGGCCGGAGTCTCACATTGGTAGTTGGGACACATAGTTTGAGCAACAGGGAGCTGCAGCAGAGGGATGAAAGAGCCACATGCGGCTCCAGAGCCCCAGGTTGCTCGCCCCTGAGCTAGAATTAAGGAGACATTTCCTGACAGTGAGGACAATTAACCAGTGGAACATCTTCCCACCAGAAGTTGTGGGTGTTCTATCACTGGAGGTTTCTAAGAGGAAACTGGACAGACACTTGTCTCTGATTGTATAGGGTCTCCTGCTTGAGCAGGGGGTTGGACTAGAAGACCTCCGAGGTCCCTTCCAGCTCTGTTATTCTCTTATTCTTCCTATTTCTCTGCTGCAAGAGCTTCTAGAGCTGCAGGAGGCTCCAGCTTAAAAAACATGGTCTCAGTTTGCTCAGATTCCAGGGTCATCGGAGGGAACCACAAGATGTGTATCGTCTTTTAAAAAAAAAAAATCAAGATAGATTTTAACAACATCAATACGGTGATTTTTAAGTGCTCTTTACTTGATTCAAAGCAAAGAATTCTTAAGTTTTCTTTGACGCTTGCATTGTAAGTCCGTCAGAACTTTGAACTGTCACTAAGGGACTGGACGTAACTCAAGGACTACCTGTCGTCTAGGCCCATGATGGCCAACCTATGGGACACGTGCCCGAAGTGGCAAGGGGAGCCATGTCACCTGCGTGGCGGCGCCCATTTCTCTTCTGGGTTCCTGGGGCCCAGGCATACGCAACAGTCCGGCTTGCCTCTGTGCGTGGGGCAGTGGCGGAAACAGGAGGAGCGGGCCTTCCGTGAGCATGTGTGCTGACCAGCTGATCGATGCGTGCGCATGTGCGGCAGTAGCCCGAACACTTGAAGAACCTGAAGAAACCAGACGTTCATTTTCTAGCACTGCTGGATGCCCCCTGGGCAGCTCCTCTTCTGGGTGGGGGCCTAGACGGGCACCCTCCCTGGTCTAGGCTGTAATCTGGCTTTAGAAAGAGAGGCAACCACCATCCTCCTTGGCAACCATTCGAGGTGACAACAGCCCTGCCACAAAGTGACTAACAACCCCTGCGGCATCCCCATGGTCACGGGAACAGAACTTGGACACTTGGCAACAGGCATGTACTTATGACAGTTCTGCTGGGTTCCCGTGATCAGCATTTGTAACCTTCACACTGGCCTCCAACAAGCCGTCAACGTGGGAAGCCAGATTGGCTTAACAACCACATGGGCGGAGCCAACGTCGCAACGTTACATCGTGCGGACTCAACAGTCCGAATCCGCCGATGACACTTTTGCCCCCGGGCGGTCCGGCAGGACCTAAAGCGTCCCGAAGAGACGGTGACTGGGAAGACAAGACCTTGCTGGTCGCGGGGACATCGCAAAGTCCCTGATCGACCCAAGGGAAGCGCTTCCAACCAGTGGCAACAGGCAGCCCCCCCCCCTCTCCCCCCTCCCGGCTGACATAGTTGGATACGGCTCCAGAAAGAGAAATGAAAGTGTTTCCATCTGGTGAGGTTTTTTTTTCTTTTCTTTTAGAAGATTGCCCTCTTTTCTTAAGCTAAATTAGTCCTTTAAGTAAGAACAAAGTGGTGTATTTAATCCCTATTGGACTGCCTTAGAAAGTTTTTTGCTCTTGCCTGTAACGATGTTTTGTGGATTGAAGTGATTGCAACGTTTCCTTTCTCTCCGCTTGAGGTGAAGGGATCTTTTTTTCTCTATTTCCTTTTACTACTTTAACTTTTTTTGGCTTAAATTAAAACTTTTTTACTTTAATAAATTTCTCC